CTCAGGAGGCAGCAGAATTTATTTTCTGAGCATTCAACTCATTGAAAAAAACCTCACAGGGGCTTTCCCCATTCTTTGACATAAATTTGAATTGAAATTTGATTCTAATCACAGACTGGTAAAATACTATTTTGCAAACTGTTACTTGGTGTGTGATGCACGCACAGATTTGACTTCTCCCATTGATAACTAAGAAGACACTGAGATAATCTTTAGAATATTCAGAATGCATAAAACTCCTGTGTGCTCATGTAGCTAAATATTCAGAATTTATAAAAGATTTTTTAATGTTCAAGTTGTTTCCAGGATGTTTTTTTTTTCTAAGCTCACACATATATTTTGGTTATGCTCTATTCAGTTTTTGCCAGTGCAAACAACTTTTGAGGGATGTCTTTCTACAGATACACAACTTTATACTGGAACTCATGAAAAACAAATGTTTTTAATTTATACATAATTTTAACTAAAAATATGACTCAAAGGTTTAGCAGTGACCAGGGTGTTAGCTCACTGTAATTTTAAAAATAACTATCTATCTAGTGTAAATCTCTAATCTGATGCTTGCAAAGAGTAGCAGATCAGATCATTATGTTTTTCCGATGGAACTTTTTTATATATTTTTAAGGCTTAATGAAGAGCAGTTTCATAATACTGCAACTTTCTCTGGGTTAACATTTAAAAAAGAGTAAATTGCTCTACCAGGTTCAATCTTCCATTGCACTGAGGCATTCAGGTTCAGAATTTATTTGCCATATTCTTTCCCTGTATTTGGAGAGAAATGTTCAGACAGAAATTAGTGTTTTTCCATCTCAAGACTCTCAGATCTCTGAGTCTCAGATTGACAAGTTCTGTAATTTGAAAGTGAAGAGCAGGTACCTGTAGGATTTATGGTAGCTGTAGATGTGGGTGGCTCCGAGACCCTCCACCAGAGGGCAGTTATTTCACCTATGAGAGTGCCCAGCAGTAGATGCCTAAGGAACAATTACACAGAGCAGACAAGCAGGTAGCAGGACTTCCGTGCAGTATTTTTCCAGTTCTTGATAATTTGCAGTTGAAGGATTTACCGTGGATATATTTGGTAAGTGAAACATGCTAAGATACTCAAATGTCCTTTTCCTCTAAAAGGTGATCCCAGATCTTAAACAACAAGTTTCTGAGTTGGAAAATCAAAAATTAGATCTTGAAAATCGTCTTCAAGAACAGACTGTAAAGTTGAAAGGTAAAGTACTTGTGTGGTTACTAGCCTTAGAGTAGTTTAAAAAGAAAATACTGAATTCTCTAGATCTTAATTTGTAAGAGCTGAAACAATATTACATGATAACATAATTGATTTATTACTTATTTGTTTGCTAGTAAAGTGGAAGAAACACCATGAACAAAGTATGTTGTATATATCTGTATATATATCTATATATCTATATCTGTTACTGAAGAATTAAATATATGCCCAAGTACATGCATTTTTGAAGTCCATTTTTGATCTTTCAGTTCTATAGTTTGGGTGCATATGTTCATGCATGTGTGTTCAGTAGACTGCTGAGAATATGTGCAATGGAGTATGACCTTTGGAAACAATCATAAAAAGAAAAGATATTCGAGAACTTAAGGAATTCCCTGTGAGGTGGACTTAAGTAGAAGAGTGTTGAAGGATTCAGGGAATTGAGTGGGAGATGGAAGGAAAATTTCCTGATAGATTCTGTCTAATTAGGAAAACACATATGCTGAGGGTTCTATAAGTTAGAGTCCCCCCAGCAGTTGCTTTTTTCTTTCTAATATGGTAGTATCTCTGCTACTAACTGTAATAATTTAATAGTGCTAAAAGTCCCTCGTCTATATAATTTGTGTGCAGTGGATAGGATACCTGAGTGCCTGATATGTCATTCAGTTTTGTTAGATGAAACATAATTGTGGGTGTAACAAAAGATTTACTAAATACTAGTACAGATCAGTAAGTAAATGTGATTTTGTTGTTTCTCTTTTGTTTTTGGTTTTGCTGTTAATTATTACTGAAAAAAAATGTGAAAGAGATATCTAATCGGCTGCATTATGAGCTAGAAAAGGACAGAACACAAAGGCGGTAAGTTGTTTTTTTGTTTTTATAATATAAGAAATGGAAGAGCCATACACTAGAGTGGCAAAGTCACTCAAAGATTTTGGAGTTCCATGTCCAGCACAAGATTTTTCCCACAGCCGTGGGTACACTTAATAGGTAATGCCAAATATGATACGACTGTGCTTTAAAGAAATAATGATATAAGAAAAAAACTTCCTATCTATTTCTAGAGCAAATGAAGGCCTGAATGAAATAGACCTAAAAGAAAAAGAAAGACTGAAAGTAACAACTGAAGAAATTGAGAGGCTGAGCAATGGTTTGAAGCAAGATGAAGCCCAAGATGAAGTAAAAAGTATGATAAAACAAGAAACAAATCGACTTACTGTGGAAAATATGGTGAGATATTAAATTTGCACTAAGGAAATACACCTAAAATGTGAGATAAAAATGAAGAAATCTTGATTTCTTTGAATGGGCAGAATATGTTCTCAGTTTATTAGGGCAGAAATAAGACACGGAGGTGTCATCTCTGCTCCATCAAGTAAAAGTGAAATAATGTTATAATGTGCTTCATTTGTGGCAGTAACATGTAGCAAGAAAAGGTATTTCTTACATGTGGTTTTTCTGAACTCACTGAATTTTATTGTAGGATCTTGAAGAAAAACTAGACATGAAGGACAGAATAATAAAAAAGTTGGAGGATCAGATCAAAACTCTTACCAAGACTATTGAAAAAGGTGAGATGCTGTTATGTGATATTTTTATGCTTTTAGATGTTTAGTGTGTTGAGAGAAAGGCAAGGTTTGAGGTAAGAGTTTTAATTTAAAAAACTTCATTTAACAAATTTAAAAACAAATTTAAAACCTCAGAAAAAAGTACCACAGAAGTATCAAGAAAAGTTTTTTAAATGTTTTGTTTGTTTTGTTTTGTTTTTCCTCTTCACAGCATAGAAATGGACAGGTATCCAGCCTAGATTATGCTAGAAAATTTAGGCCAGTGACATTAGCTTCTGTCAACAGAAATTAATACATGTTCTTACACAAACTGTCTCTGAGCCAGCAGAATGCTAGTTTTGTATTAGTTGAGTAACTGCCCCCCTATATTTGCCTTCAGATGCCCATAGTTCCTGATACAAAGTTAATTTGTGCAAACTTTATGTAAGACAATAATTCTTCATTATGGAATACATCTCAAAAGATTGCAGAAGTAGCTGATAACGCAGCTCTTTTTGTTTGCTTTATTAATGCAAGTACTTCCACTGAATTCGGTGACACTGTTCACATAATGAGTGTTATTTAACTCTGCACATGGAACAGTAAGCTAAGAGCATTGTGGTAAACAGGGCCTGCGCTTCCTTTATTACAATGAGTTCCCCTTATCTCCAGTGGTTTATACTAAAATGTGAGCATTAAATTAATCATTTACCTGCAGGTAACAGTGCTTTTGTGTTTGACAGCCAGTGAAGTTCATGTGCCAACTTCATCTAAAGAGTACGTTGGAATGATGGAATACAAAAAGGAAGATGAAGAAAGGATTGTTCAAAACCTGATCCTTGGTACTTTAGTTACACTTCAAATTTAAACAGTAGTCAGTGATATTCAGGTAGACACTACAGCAAAAACTGCAAGTCCCTGTACTTCAGTCAAGTTCAAGGTTGGCTTTATCCAGTTCCCTTATCAACAGTACAGCCTGGAGGCTCTATAAAACTCCTTTCTGTAGACAGTCATTTCAAAAGCAGAAGTGCTTTGTCTGTGTAAAAATCATTTATCTCACTCTGCGTAACTCTGACTCTATTATCTTTCTTATTATTTGTTCACTCATAAAGCTAGAAATCTCAAGAGCACTCCAGGGACTTGAATTTACTTTTGTCCTGGTCATCTACTAAGTCTGTAAGTCATTGGGCCTGTATCCATATGTGGCTTACTAATCTCCTGTCTGTTCTTTCTGTATAGTTTCCTTCACCAAAGTTTGTGCTTTCATATGGTTCCTTCTTGTGGGAGAATTTTGCCCTTCTGAGTTACTTCCACAATATCATCCTACCACTGGGATTTTTCATTAGCTTGCAATTAATAGTAAACTCAATTTCCATGTACATTAGTACCCTTATTAACTACTATTTGGAAATGCCATGCTTCCTTTCTTCTCACATGCTTCAGCCTTGTGCATGTTTCTTTCTTTGTGAAAACAGGAGTGTCATTAAGTAATGCCAGAATTTGGTGGGGCCACCTGCAGATAGCTAAATGCCAGTCACTTTTTGAAGTTTTTGTGTCTGGCATAGCTACAATACTCTCCTACCACTCTGGAAAACTTAATTAATACTTTCATATGAAAGATATTGTTATACAAGTTTTCAGGAACAAGCAGTTCATCAGTAAATCCATTATCAAGTACCTGGTCACTGAAGAAATGAACTCCACAGTGCCTGTCTTTTTTGGAATGACACATTGCATCATTCCGTCCATATATAATAAACCTGATGATTCTCCTTTATGCAGATTTAAAGCCACGTGGTGTTGTAGTTAATATGATTCCTGGCCTTCCAGCTCACATCCTATTCATGTGTGTGAGATATGCAGATTACCTGAATGATGCTGACATGCTGAAATCATTCATGAATGTAACCATTAATGGTATCAAGCAAGTTATTAAGGTAGGAATAATGCTTGGCTTCCTGATTTTAGTGTCGGGTTTATAAGATGAATGCCTTTCACCTGCAGAGTGCAGACACTTCCATTTGCTAGTGTTCCTAAGGTAGAATAATTACCATTAGTGACGCTCCTTTTGGAGCTGTAGTAATATCCTTGTGTAGCCTTCAGGTAAGGTTGCGCTGTCCTTAAGAGAAACTGTCCTTAAATGCGGAGCTTGTTGACAAAATGATTGCAAGTATTTTACATCTGAAAGTGAGTAGTTAATTAGGTTCCACATGCCTATTAATTTAACCCTAGTAAAAATTGCATGACTAAAAATAAGGGTTATAGTTAGTATGTTTGGCTATAGAAAGGTATGAGACTTTAAAGTACTTTTTACTATGCTGATTTTTAGACATGTCAGTTGGTGCTGCAGCATTAGTGCCCCAAAGATAGGAAGTTGTGCTGTCAGACAGTTTAGAAAACCAAGTTACGAACACAAATCATTAGTTTACTCTCTGAAAGGAATTACAATTTCACTTATGTGAAAGCCTTATTATAGATTTATAGTGCAACAGAACACCAGGCGTGCTTTGTAGCACAGGTAGAAATGAACTGTGGTATATGCAGTTGATTTTGTTGTGTAAGTAGTACCTATCGCTGGTAGCATAAGTTATCTTTAGGAAAAAATGTACTTAGTTAACAGGACAAAAAAGCCTATTTAAATATAGTTATAATTGAGCTTATATATATAGTTCCTTCGTCTATATAGTCATTGTTAGCATTATGGCAGGAAGACCTCCAGTATACTACACCACAATATGTAGGTAAAGATATTGGATTCAGACTAATTTTTTTAGACAGTCTCTCGTATTGGAAGAGTTAAACAGTGTTTATCAAAGAAGACGGAACATTGACTGTGACTGAAAACACAGTATGATGTGTACAAGCTAGCATGTTACAGATATGCTTGGTGCTCCTTCTGATATAGATAGATGCTGTTATACCAATCTGATGGTCTTAAGATCAGTAGTGTAATTAAACTCTACTGGATAATGCTCTTAAAAATTCCTTTATTTATTATTTACAGGAACATTCAGAAGACTTTGAGATGTTGTCCTTTTGGCTTTCCAACACATATTATTTTCTTAACTGTTTGAAGCAGTACAGTGGAGAAGAGGTAGGAATGATTTTACCAAATCATGTAATTATTTTACCTTTGACTATCTTTTTCTTCTGCAAGCAAAATAGACAGGGATCATTATCCATTAGGTCGCTACTGTTCCTTAAAGATATTAACGTAATCATATGTCTCTGTGGTGTTATATCTTACATGAAGATCTGTTGAAGTGAACTCAAGAGAACACTGAAGTGTTAAACTCGGTTAAAGACATGACATGTAAACTGTTATTTAATCTCCTAAGAGATGGATTTAACGTAAGGTGGATTTCAGTGTTCTTCTAAATGCATAGAAAAGAGTTTTGTTATGTGTAATTGTGACCACTTTAAACATTTACAAAATTATGAGAACACCAATATAAAACTACAGAAGAAAACCCCAAGAGGGGTGCATAATGATAAAGCGGCTCTTTCCCCTTATTTTATTTGTTTGTTTAAGCTAAGATTCATCCTGTTTTTCTTTGAGATTCTTTTAATTTACAAACTTTTGCTATATTCAGTTGCTAGAGATTATAAACTTAGACTTAATGAAACTGCACAAGCACATGAGAATATGGTCTTCAAGATAAAAGCAAAGAGATACCATAAAGCCTAGGAATCACAGCAGCTTTGTACTGTCTAACCTACAATATTCCCTCTTGTGGTCATATTGATAAGGTATAGTAAGCAGTGGAGAATTTGAAAACATTGCACACACAAACATTTCATTACATACTTTTATAGTTTAATTCCAGCAATTGAGAAAGGTCTGAATACAGTTTTTACAGTTTTAATATATATTAATGGACTAGTCACAAGAAGTGAATATTCACACAAGTTAGGATCCGGTCTGGATTATTGAAGTCAGGGTTTTCCTGATCAAAAATCCAAAAATTACATCCCCTCCTTGTAATAATTTTTTTTTTTTTAAGCCAGCGTAGTTTAAATAACTGTGTTTTGGCTTTTCCTGAGAAACAGTTGCTTGTTTTCTGTTTAAATGACCAGTGAGCCAAAGTTCATTGAAACCTGTGCAGGTCTTTCCTTTGGCTTTAGTAGGAGCTAGATCTAGCTTTTGGAAGAAACTACTTGCATACTGGAAAAATAAGTGTGGGAAGCCAGGACGGGAAGAATCTCTTGAAGACATCAGTAGCTTTGACTCATCTTGAGACTGTGTTTGGTCAGAGACAGAATGAGTTACTATAATACATACATTACCTCTTAATGCTGATTGATAATAGTTGTTCTAATAACTTTATTTGCCATTTTTTTAGGAATTTATGAAGTATAATACCCCACGTCAGAATAAAAACTGTTTAAAGCATTTTGATCTCTCAGAATACAGACAGATTCTTAGCGACTTGGCCATTCGTATCTATCACCAATTTGTTATTGTAATGGAGAACAACATTCAGCCAATGATTGGTAAGAAAGCAAGAATACAGAGAGTTAAATGTAATTTGTGAAGTACCCAAATAAAGCTTACACAGGGAGGCAAAGGGTGGGACAAGCTTCATTCTCCTGTTGGCTATGCTTATATGTATGTGATGTTTGTATATATGCACATAAGTTTCTGGGTATATAAATTCCACTGAATATTATATCCCTACAGGATTTGGAAAAACTTTGACTTCAGAACAGTTTCCCAATAGGGAGTAATGCTTTGAAACAGAATCGGATTGTTGGGTAGATATAGAAAAAACACCTTCATTTTCTTAAGGATGGAGGCACCACTGGGATCATTCTCTCTCTAGATTTTTTTTTTATTTCACTGCCTTGTGCTGCCCACCTAACCAATATTGCTAAGTAGCCAAGCAGCATGCAAGCAAAGAATTGTATTCTGTATTATTTTATAATATCACTTTCAGTATAAATTCAGTATAAATAAAAGTCTTTGTTCTGGAAAATTGCTGCAATGTTATTATTTTACTCCCTTTAATGATTTTTGTCTAATTATTTGTGATAGTACGAGTACCATTTTAGTTATGATTTATGCAAAGCAGACTTCTAATTCTCTTTCTCAAAGAACCAGCGGTGCTAACCTGACAGCATGTCAATGTGCAATGAAACTTACTGTGGCTGTAGTCTTATGTTAGCCTGGAAAGGAGAAAGATACCAACATTCCACAAAAATAATATACTACTTTTAATTTGTGTACTCAAGAAGGTTTTATTAGTGTCTAATTTTTTGAGTATCATTTAATTTTTAAAATATCCTTCAGTTGCATTTTGTTCCAGATTAAGTTAGTGTAACTGAAAGGAGCTTTAGTAGCATTGGTGTTAGCATTATTTCTTACTGTCTTCTAGTTCCAGGCATGCTGGAATATGAAAGTCTCCAAGGAATTTCTGGCTTGAAACCTACAGGGTTCCGTAAACGTTCTTCAAGTATAGACGACACAGATACCTACACAATGACCTCTATTCTGCAACAACTCAGCTATTTTTATAGTACGATGTGCCAGAATGGCTTGGACTCTGAGCTTCTAAAGCAGGCAGTGAAGCAGCTTTTCTTTCTGATTGGAGCTGTCACCCTCAATAGTCTGTTCCTCCGCAAGGACATGTGCTCTTGTAGAAAAGGAATGCAGATAAGGTAAAGCCAGTAAAGTTTCAGTGAGCAGTTGCTTGAGAATGGACTTTAAACATGTTTGTTTGTTTCTTTGTAGCATAGTCCCCTTTCTTTGTGAATATTCTGCTGGAAGTAGCTGATTATTTTTTTACTCTACCAGAAAAGTAATCTTTGCCTTTCGGACTGAGCCCCACCTTACTTGGTGCAGAGTGTATCTCATCTCTTGTATAAACTCAGTTGTAAATTAGTATTTTCTATATATATAATGTACCACTATAACAGCCAATGCCAATATTTATTGGTGATGTTTTGTAAATGACAGTTAAGCTAGTAAGTTATTTTCTATAGCCCAAGCTTTAAGAAATAAAATAAAAAGGATTAAAATGCACATCAAAGGAATTAAACTTACAAATCAATAAGCCTTTAATCGTTTGGGCTTTATACTCTAAAAATATGTTACTTAGCTTAAAATGTAGACATTTGAACATCCATTAAAGGAACGCTGTTCCTTTAATATCATTAATGATAGCAAGTTATACTAAAAAATTCTTATAAGGGGGACCTGATTTTTCTGTGTCTTCTCTGTGTTTAACCCAGGTGCAATATCAGCTATTTGGAAGAATGGCTTAAAGACAAGAATCTCCAAAGCAGCAATGCCAAAGAAACTTTGGAGCCTCTGTCTCAGGCAGCCTGGCTACTTCAGGTCAAAAAGATCACTGATGATGATGCCAAAGAAATATATGAACACTGCACATCTCTTTCCACTGTGCAGGTAATGAATTTTTATTTTTTCTGGCAGTACCAATTACAAGATTTTAGCTATCTGAAATAGTTTATTACATAATTGCTATTGGCCTTTCATTTTGTGAACATAACACTCCTCAACACTTCACATAACTACTTGTCATGTTTTGTCACTGCTTATTCCTGATAACATTTTAAATGCTTCAGTAGTGTGTATTGTTCTGTGTGCATTGTTCTACCTCCCTGCTTTCCCCCCTCCCTGCCCATGGTAACTTTGTTACACTTCTCTTGACTAATTCAGCTTTTCCTGCTACTTCTTGATTTGGAAACTAGTCATAGCAATCATCACATGTGTAACCACTCAATAGGTGACCAGTTAAAATTCCTTCATTATTGTGAAACTCCTTGCTACATCTTCAATTAAATATCAATAAAAAATGTCATATTATTGCTTCTTCCTTTCTGTCTCCTCACTCTCTTTGTTACATATTACAGTAGTCTTTTTAATTTAAACAGATAGTTAAGATCCTCAATTCATACACACCAATAGATGATTTTGAGAAAAGAGTGACTCCATCGTTTGTTCGTAAAGTCCAGGTAAAAGCTCTAATCATTATCTCTGATCTTTAAGATATAGGATGTTTCATACACACTTGTCTTGCATGCTATAATTTAAGTTCATACTTTATCTTTAAGTCATATTATAATAAAGTTGTTTAGCTTCTAGACATTCAGAATTTATCAATAAAGGCCTTTTTAATGTTATGCAAAAGATTTGTCAAATCAGAAGATCTGTCATAGGGAAAAATATTTTTGTTAGTTTTGTTTTTATTCTTAATGGAATATTTTCATACTCTTTCTGTTATAATTTCAGGCCATGCTAAATAACCGTGAGGATGTTCCACAGCTGATGCTCGATACCAAGTATGTCTTTCAAGTGACATTTCCTTTCACCTCCTCGCCGCATGCCTTGGAAATGATACAAGTCCCCAGCAGTTTCAAACTTGGCTTTCTCACAAGAGTGTAATAAAAAGGATACATCAGTATTTCCTCACAGGCTAAAGACAGACTTTCATGTTTCATTTCTTCAGCTGGTGGTTGGTATGATAGCTTGCAGTTAACTATAGCTTTAAAAAGGCAGACTTAAAAAGCAGGAATAATTTCAGCTTGTAATTTCTTCTTGTCTTCTTTTGCTGTTTTCTAGTTTTCATTACAGTCCTAAAATAGATGGCATTATTTTATCAACTGGATATAAAAGTGACCTTATTGTTAAGTAGCCCAGATCTGTCAAGAAAAACATTTGTCTCACAAGCTTGCATTGGTGCCCTGTCAGTAACCCTAAAGTACAAGTCACAGGAGAAACTGTTAGGGTTGCCATTGGATAACTGCTGTTATCTTGTAATTTTTCTTGGCCCTTACTTTCTGTAACAGGATTTTTTTTCCATGCTAATTCCAATTCTTTGCTATGGATCTGTTTTACAGTGGCTTTCACTGTTATGTATTTTTATACCTTTATTTCTTTTTGAAATGTGTGTCTTATAACAGTTTTTCCAGAAGACTGCAGCAGGAAGAAATGGAAAGTCTCCACACAGCAGTTTAGAAAAAAATCAGTATAAAAACCAGTACAGTCAGCCTGCTGTTGAACCCAGGAGTAGTGTTAAGATGGAGCTAAGAGAACTGCTGTAACAAACCTGTGTTGTTTTTGTAGAAATGCTGGGTTCCTCACCCTGGCAGAAATGCTTTCTTTATAGTCCAGGCAGACCAGAACATACATTGAGCATAGACAGGTATGCACGTCTTTTTTTCTCTCTTCCTTTTTTTGCTTTTTTTCCTTTCCTCAGTCCTGACACTGAGTAGGAAATGAGCAGGTACTGAGCTCTAGTCTTACTAATAAACCAACCTTAATTTCTTAGGTTATGTTTTATTTATTTAATTTATATTGCAGGATCTGTGTAAGCAGTGGTAGTTTCTGTTTTGCTTTGTGCAATCCCTTCATAAAGCCCAGAATGCAGTGAACAATAACCATTTAATACGGACTCTGTCAGGACACCCCGAGAAAAAGCATTCATCCCACTACAATGTTGACTGTCATTAGAAATTTCTCAATTATGCTATTTTTCCTTCTAATGTGTTAGACATTGTATGTTTATTATAATAAAGTACTGTAATATAATAAAGTACTAAAGCTCTGCTGTATTTAAATGATTCCATTTTAATGTAGCTAGTTAAACATTATAGGAAGGAACTGTTGATTTTTTTAGTTTTTAATTATACAGTGTTTGTATTTCTTGTTTAATTTCACAGAAAATCTGTAGATATAAGAGTGGAATCATTTTTGCTGTTTACTGTCCTTGGTATTTACTCTGAATGGTGACATATTCATAGTGATGTCCATAGAGATGTATAAAAAAAAAATGAAGGAAAATAATTATGTTTTGTTTAACAGCAACAAAAAGTGTAAAAATATCACAGACAGAAACTAGTATTTTAAATCTGATAAATAAAGCAGCTTTTAAATCAATTTTAAGTATATTGATTGATGTAATAGTTATTTTATGTTTTTGATACTAAATCATGTAAACAAAACTACTTGGATTCTGTGAACCTAGTGAATATTGCCAGTCATGTATTACACTGTAATAGCTTATTTACTTAATGGTCTATTTATTTTACTACAGCATCATGCATCTTTCTGTCAAGCTGCTATGCTGTCCCTGTCTCTCCTCATGAATTTCTGTAAATATTCTTATGCAAGTAAGTTTTTTTCCCCCCTATAAATTGTATATAAACTTTTCTACAGTTACCTCATACAGTTTGGCTAAAATCACAGTCTGCTCTTAAATCAGGCAACATAGAAGTGTCTGAAGGTATGTACATCTTTGAGAGAAAAATCAGTGATAGCTGATCAGAGAAAATGTTATGATAATTTATTGCAAAGTTACTGAAATAACTTATGGAGAGATATATGAGATGCTATTGCCATCATTGGACCTCTGTCCATATGTAACTAGTGCAGCTTCTGGCAATGGGACTTGGAGGTGGACCTAAAGGGTGATCCTTTTCAGTCTTCTGTTCCCATAGTACTCTGATAAAAAAGATTAGGATGAGTTCCTTCTATCCAAATTCATGCTCAGCTGAGATTTTTTTCACATTTTTTTTCTCATTTTGCTTCAGATCCTCTGGACTATTGAATGCAGGTATCTAGGGGCATGACTGCACTGGGCTCACAATAGCACATGTGACCTTCAGAGCACTTTTATATTTCTTACAGCATATTTTCATAGGTTTTTTCCTGAGGTCTTCTGTTCCCATAGTACTCTGATAAAAAAGATTAGGATGAGTTCCTTCTATCCAAATTCATGCTCAGCTGAGATTTTTTTCACATTTTTTTTCTCATTTTGCTTCAGATCCTCTGGACTATTGAATGCAGGTATCTAGGGGCATGACTGCACTGGGCTCACAATAGCACATGTGACCTTCAGAGCACTTTTATATTTCTTACAGCATATTTTCATATTTTCAGGTTTTTTCCTGAATTTTTAAACAGTGTAAGAAGGCTTTTTTTTTTTTAATTTTGTTGTTTTAAGACAACAATTTGAAAATCAGGTGAACAGTCAAAGTATACCTAAAGAAGTATGTCTGAAAGCAGCATGAATGCTAATCAGTGTGTTTAACTTTTAATTTTCACAGAATCACAGAATGGTTGAGGTTGGAAGAGACCTTTAGAGGTCCTCTAGTCCAACCCCCCCTGCTCAAGCAGGGACACCCAGAGCACGTGGCACATGGTGGCATCCAGGCGGGTTTGAAGATCTTCAGAGAAGGAGCCTCCACAGCCTCTCTGGGTAGCCTGTCCCAGGGCTTTGTCACCCTCACAGCAAAGAAGTTCTTCCTCACATGGAGATGGAACTTCCTGTGTTTCAACTTGTACCCATAACTTTCTTTAAATTGTACTCATAATTTAATAATTTAAATTGTACCCATAATGTTTCAACTTGTACCCATAATTTTCATTAAATGCGGGAGATAGATTTAACACTAACAGTATCATTTGTCACAATATCAACTAATAGTTGGAAAAATCAGTGCAGTCAGTCATCCCCTAGTATGTTCAAACTTCAACATTTGAAACAAAACAAAAATTGCCACTATGAGGAACAGTCAGTCAAAATCTGTATTCACTAACAGTTTGAGTATGTTCTTTATTTCCTATTCTGAAAAAGTGCAATTAAAACTAAAGATTTAAACTTTAATCATCGTAACCAGTCTGAGTTGGGAGAACTGGAGAGGCTGAGCTTTAAATATCCTCTAAGCAGATTTAACAGGAAGGTTGCCTTTCTACATTAGCCACTGCACACAGCTTATTTACTCATCTTGAGACACTGCAGGTTCTTGTTCTTCAAAAAGGTAGGTAAATCTTAATATTTATCAGCAAGATTCGTTGTACAGAATTACTCTGCAATTAGTTTATTTGTTATTATGTTTCATCATGCCACTATTTTTAAATTGCTACTGTGACTTTCTAAAAATCTAGTAAGTTTAAAAATCTCCAGTTATGGCACAAGAAATTGTGATCCTTTCAGATCTTTCTTGGTTTAAGCTGCTCATGACAATGATGGATTTCTTTCCTATTTTATAAAGATATGTACTATCACAGGTATAATACTGCTTTTTAACTACCTGGAAATTTTGTTGGCTCCTTTTCTAGAAACATTTTTATAACATGTCACAATATCATCCGAAATAACATACTGATATCGGGCAAGATTCATCCTGGATGTGATTCCAATAAATTCATACACAATCTGAAGGACCCTGCATGTGCAGGGGGGTTGGACTAGATGACTTCTAGAGGTCCCTTCCAACCTTAAGCATTCTATGATTCTATGATTAATTCTGCCCATCTTCCAAGCATTAGATCCTTGTCTAAACTCTGTAGAAACTAAGATGGCATTTTGTCTATAATGCTTGCCTTTTACATTCCTTCAAAGTGAAAATTTTCCTCCCAAAGTTCAGTATAGGGTTAGTGTCCAGGGACCTCATACCAGGTATAAATATCACCTGAACTGCCCACAGTGGAAATCACTAATTCTAAGAACCTCTGGGTAAGACACTAATTTACTCTAAATGCATTTGTCTGTCATGAGTGGACCCTGATTCTATAGTCACCTTAAAGCTACCAGGAATGCTGTTAGAAGAGAAACACCTTAAAAGACACGTGATCAGGCTCATTTCTTGTTTGCGAGAGAATGCATTAAAAACTTCAGAACATATTTGCTGCATTTTATCAAACAAGACATAAACCCCTTTGCCTATACCTCATTCAAAGCTCTGTGCAGATTTCAGGTTACAATGCAGTGTGTTGTACTTCATTTCAGGACAGATTTCTTCCCATGTGTTCTGAGATGAAATTAGTCTCTCTTGAGACAATAGCAAAATTCCTACTGAGGCAGGATTTCTGAGTTCATTGTTAAAAATGAGAAGAAGCTATTGCAGGATCTGGCTAAATGAAGCAAAGGAAAGCAAATCCAGGTTTTTGAATTTGTTTGGCTAGGCATTTTAGGAGGCGGGGGGAACCCATCACTCTAGGGCACTTGCCTGCATTCTACTGCTTATTCTTAAGCATTTCATTGGACTACTTGAAAAATGAGACAATAAACTCATTGTGTTTATTATGTATGTCAGAGTACTGTTAAAAGCTTTCATTTTAGAAGTGGTGAAAGATCTCATTTTTTCCTATGGGAGAAAAAAGTGTGTGGAAAAAAAAAAGGGAGGAGAAAAATGACACTAGAATATTCTGCTTATTTCTATTCCTGACTCTCAAGCAATTTTTAGTTCTAGTGATGACAAGAAAAGTGCTTTGTTCCTAGAGGTAACTATGGTTTTAAAAAAAAGAGTGTGGGTGGAGGGAGGCATAATGACCCAGCTTTGTGTGTGCTGAAACATTAATTTCTGTTCAAGCAACGCATCATTCATAATATTTTTGTAGCTGATGACTAAATCCTAGGACATCTTTTCAGTTTAAAAAAGTAATACATAATACTGACAGTATAATAATGCAGTGGGAAAAAAATACATATTGATCAAATGCAGGTGTCTCAGA